TTTCTTTCTTTCTTTCTTTCTTTCTTTCTTTCTTTCTTTCTTTCTTTTCCTTCTGGCACTTCAGTTATACATTAAAAATATAATTTGTATATTTCATTTAATTTTTTAGGAGTTTTACACTGAGTGGTTTTTAGGATATCAAATCATTCATTTTTCTAGAAACAGAAGTCTTGTGTCAATCGTGGTTTTAAAATTGTTTAACTCACAGAATTGTGTCTTGCACACAATATATTCAGTAAAGTGAGCTTAACTGAACTGAAAAAGATTTCAGTTGGATTTCTCTGATGCTGCTTCATCATACTCAATAAGACAGTGCTTAATTTGGCATTACCACCATTACATGATTTTATCCTGTCCTTAATACTTTGCAAAATTATAAAATATTTTAAATATATGGAAAATAATGTAATTGAAATCTTTGTAGTTAACCAAGATTAAATTATGTTAATATAGTGCCCATTTTTTTTCTTGGTTTTGGTTTTATGATTATATAACAAAGTAATGTGTATGATTTTGTATATTTTAAAATTTTATATTAATAATATAATGATCTTCATACCCTTTTGAAACTTGCCTTTTCCCCCACTCAACATCATGTTTGAAAAATTTATCTACGCTGATACCTTAAGCTTGAATTCAGTTATTTCAAGTCCTATATATAATTCTATTACCAATTAGTGTTTATTTAAAAGTCCCTTTATTCTGCAATAAGCATGCTTATATATATGCTCTTGAGCATATGTTTGAGATTTTTAAAGTTAGTTGCCTAGAACTGAAAGTACTCTATAATAAATTGTTCTAAACTTTAACTTATTAAGTATATCCAATTCTTTTTATCTAATCTTTATGATTGTGATGGTGTTGATCATTATAAAAATAAAACATCTTACCTTATTTTATTATTTAGTGTTTATGATTTGTGAAAAGTACCTAGTACTAGTCGGGATAAGGATTATGCTGAATATATGTTATGCACGACACCTTGTGTTTAATTCAAATTATATTAAAGTTTATGCTATTAAATAATGAAAAATTAGGTGATTTAGAAATTCATGCCCCCCCCCCCTTTTTCTATAGGTATTTATGAGCCTCCATTTATTGTACTACTGCAGTGAACCAACCTTGGATGTGAAAATTGCCTTTTGTCAGGTGTGTGTTCCTTACAGGTAAAACAAGGTACAGTATATTCCCTTGTATTTCCATTTTGCCATTTCAGCTTGCCTATGTTCCACACCAAGTTAGTATTGACATAGATTTTAAATGACTTGGGAATTAGAGGTGGGTAGTTAGATGTTTTTTCTTTCCCAGTTTTCTTAAGTTAGAATAGAAATGAAGATAATTCTTTTTAATGATTACAAATAATAGTGTTTAATCACTGTGTAATGTGATTTCTTATTAGATTTTATTTATACTTAATGTCAGTAATATGTCTTTCCTAATCCTTGAATGTGGCTTCAATCATCAAAATAGCTGAAGTCTGTGTTATCATTTCTCATCCTAAGGACTAATGAGCTCTATGTAGCAGTTCTCTGATACCCACATATAGTAACATGCAGGGGGTGCTCAGTTTGTTTTTTGATGCCCAGTGCTAACTGGTAGTTGGTAAAAGGGTAAACAATAATAATAGCAAATAAAGGTATATTTAACCTACAACGAACAATAATAAGAAGGTAGTGTAAATGGACCAGATAAAAGACTGCTTTCCTCTATTCACACACACTATTCTTAGGAAAGAAGCTACCTGGGAGTGCCTGGGTGGCTCAGTAGGTTAAGCATCCAACTTCAGCTCAGGTCATGATCTCACGGTTCGTGAGTTCGGGCACAGTGTCGGGCTCTGTGCTGACAGCTCACAGCCTGGAGCCTGCTTCGGATTCTGTGTCTCCCTCTCTCTCTGCTCCTCCCCTGCTCATGGTCTGTCTCTCTCTCTCAAAAATAAATAAATGTTAAAAAAAAATAAAAAAAAAAAAGAAGCTACCTGGGGTGCTTTTTCCTACTATAGGTATGTTTAGGGTAATCCTAAATTCAGCCTATTGTTATGGTATAATTAATAGTGCTCCTTTTTACTCTCAGGACTGTTCTTTGGATAATAAATTATATAGTAACTTTATTCATGCCCCAAGCAAAAAGCAATTCAGTTTTTCTGTAATGATTTTCATTGTATCTTCTCACTGAGCTGTACTGTAAACAGGCAGTGACATGCATCCATTGAAACAAGGTTTAAAAAATAACTACACCTTCTATTATTTTAGTAAAGTTTTTTCTGATTCTATAAGTAATATGTGCTTATTACAGAAAATGTAAAAACGTATACAGGGAAACAAATATTCTCTCTGAGTATAAGTAGAATTTCTATTGGAGAATAAAACGTGTTTGTTACATGCTACAAATAGGATTTACTGATCTGCCTCATCTCTCTGACCTCTGAATGTCGTAGTGCTGGAGGCCTCAGGCCTTTAGATAACTTCCAGTCTCTAACAAGAACTCTGGATCTGAACAGCCTTGGTTAGAAACTCCAAATCTACCACTTATTAGCCATTTACTTGTGACCTTGGGCAAGTTACTTAATCTCTCAGTGCTGTAGTTTCTAAATTTGCAAAAAGAGGACAATCATAGTACCTACCTTCCAGGGTCATGAGAATTAAGTGAGTTAGTACTTGCTAGAACATGTGTTTGTTAAATGGCTAACTAAACTTCAAATAAATTTGCATTCATTCTTCTGGTGCTCCAATTGGGTCCCAGTGTTTTAAGTATTATCAGTATCTTGACTACTTCCACAATTATGTGGCCAACCCAAACCTCTCTCCAAAATCAGACTCAGGCCCAAGTGCCTGTCTTACATCTTCACTTACAGGCCTATCAAACTGCAGACACTGAACCAAATTCCTGAACTTTTCTCCAAAATTGCTCTACTCTAATTCAGTAAATGCTAGATTCACCTTTCTCAGGGCCTTAGAACAAAATCTTTGGAATCATCTTTTGGGCAGCACTTCCCATTCAGTTTGTTAGTAAATACTGTTGGCTCTATATTTAAAATATATCTGAAATCTCACCACTTCCCAACATTCTGTCCACTACCACTTTGACCCAACTGTTATTTAAATTCTAGTTAGCTGACAGATAGTGTAATTAGTTTCAGGAGTAGAATTTAGTGATTCAACCTACTATGGCCTCTTGCCTGGATGATCACCAGAGCTTCCTCCTTTGCTCACCCCCACATAGTGAACTCTCAAAACATCAGCAAAAGTCATATTTGAAAAGTATAAGTGAGATCATGCCTCTCCTTGGCTAAAACCAAAACAAAACAGAAAAACCTTTCAATGTCTTTCCATCTCACTTATGGTAAAAACCAAAATTCTTTTTTTTTTTTTTTTTTTTTTAAATTTTTTTTTTTTCAACGTTTATTTATTTTTGGGACAGAGAGAGACAGAGCATGAACAGGGGAGGGGCAGAGAGAGAGAGGGAGACACAGAATCGGAAACAGGCTCCAGGCTCCGAGCCATCAGCCCAGAGCCCGACGCGGGGCTCGAACCCACAGACCGCGAGATCGTGACCTGGCTGAAGTCGGACGCTTAACCGACTGCGCCACCCAGGCGCCCCAAAAACCAAAATTCTTAAAATAAATACCCAAGCCTTTACCATGTAGTCACCTAGAGACCCCCTCCCAGAAACGCTCTTCCTTTAATGTCTACTTGGCTCACTCCTCCACCACCATCAGGACTTTGCTCAAATGTCATTTTTTAAGGGAACCTTTCCGGTTCTCCTATTTAAAATTGCCCCTTCTTACCTAGTCTGCCTACCTGACTTCTCAGACTTCCTCTCCCCCTATAACACTTTTTGGTAGCTGGTATACCATATGTTTGACTAGTATGTTGTGTCTCTCTTTCTCCACTAAAATGCATTTTTCACAAGGACAGGAATTTTTTCACTGGTGTGGTGGAGCAAGCTCACACAGGCTCACAAGAGTTGATTGAGCACCTCTCTCCCCAGCTCAAAGTTCAATGGTGTGAGGTCAGTAGATTGAAGTCTGTTACTATCGGAGTATGTACATTATGTAAATAAGCAATTACTACAAACAAGTCCCCTCCCTCCCTGTGGTTGTTGAATATTTACCCAGCATGCTGTTGAAATTTTGTCTCATTCGCACACTGATGTGCCAGAGTGCTAACCACAACATGTGGCATGGCGTGGGCTGTCACTGAATATTTGCGTAATGAATCAATGAATGATGTATATTTGGTTTAGGTAAGCAGTTGCAACTGTGACTGTGCATTGGTTGAAATGAGCAGGACTGAACTTCTGGGTAGAATGTCTGGGCCCTACCACTGGCAGGCTATTTGACTGTGTGCTGTTTCCTTAGATTCAGAGAGCCTATTCATTAACGATGGCCATTAACACTTATAAAGTGAACCGCAAACAAACAAAAAACTAATTCATGTTTTATGTATCTCAAGGTTAAGTCTGAACTTCAAAGATGATCAATAAAAAAGATCTTAAAACTTAAGCTGTAGTTTTCAATCCAGAGTCTTTTTGTAGGTTAACTCTATTTTTCCAATCAGCTCCCGATCTTTGTGCACAGATGCAGAATGTCTCTTTCTAGTGAGAGTTCTTTTAAAGCAAAGGAATAAAGAGAAGTAAAGCATGAGCTTTATTAATGACTCTGATTTTTTTTTTTTTTTTTGGTGTTTTGGTATTTTGCTTTTTTTTTTTTTTTTAGCTTTTGGTATCTAGATACATGCATATTGTATAGATTTTAAAACATATAAAAATATTATAGTAAGCAGAATGTTGCTGGTTGTGACTCTGAACATTTTGTTTACTTTCCATGTAGAATTTTTATTTGATGTCTGTTTGTTTATTTATTTTTCTTTTCTGTAGCCCTGTGCCTGACTTACTACTCTAGCAATTTAGAGAAAAGTGTTTTCAGTTTTAGAGACAGTTATGCACAGGGATTTACTTTCAAACTGTATTTTTGGAAGCTTCTTGTTTCCTGAGGCATTTCACAGGTTCCTGGTATGCTGTTGTGTTTAATCTGATCACCAGCAGGGTTAGGTTGTTTCCAACTTCTTGTCAGACAGACAATACACAAAGACCTTAAGTAATTTGTCAACAACTGGTCAAGTGTATTCAGAATCCAGGTCTCTTGAATCTTAATCTGTGGATTTTTATACTATGTAATATTTCCAATTTTTTCATTTGTTATCAATAAGCAGTTACAGAAAATATAGAAAGTAAAATTGCTTAAGATTCTCTCTCTCTCTCTCTCTCTCTCTCTCTCCCCCTCTCCCCTGCTTGAGCTCTCTTTCTCTCTTTCTCAAAAACAAAGACAAAAACAGAAACAAAAACTTACTCTTGTAGCAACATTGTTGATCACTTCTGATTTATTATTTTTTAGTGCATCATGTTCCTCTCTTAATCTTTAGAAATTTGAGGATGTTAGCAAATACTTTATGGGCTATGTTCACTTCTTAGAACTTTTTATAAACCTGGAAATAAGTAAACCAGGGAACTTAAAAAGATGGGTATTCTAGAATGCCCATGGAATGGTTTAGTTTTAAGTGATATGTTCAGATTACAGTACCTAGGACATTAAAAAAATACCATTAAACCTGATGCCAGGGTTATAGTTTTAAAAAAATAGTTTTTTGCTTTAAAGCATATTGATTTTGAAGTATCTTGATTTGCTCAACTTTATTTCATTTGATGGGTTATGGTGTTTCTGTTTCAAAGATGATGGAACTATGTGGTTAAAACTTTTACACTTCATTGGATGGCCATCTTAGATGGAAAGAAGTCTTTTATACCAGCATAGAGGAGTGGAGCAGCAAAGGAAAAGACATTTTGATGGGGCAAGGCAAAGGAAAACCTGTGTAATCTTACAGGGAAACTAAAAGCATTTTTGGTGGTCTATGAAATAAATGGCATTGTTTGTATATTTTAGATTTTTGCGGAGATTGTCTGCCACCTCAAAACACCAAATTAGACACTGACTTCCTATAAATATGGTTTAAGGGAATCAGTAGATTGAGCATGGATATATTTGAAGTTCTTTGTATTTTGTAAATGAATGGCTATAATTTTGAGATATAAACTGATAAACCTTTCCTTTATTATTTTAGTTTTTCATGTAACAGGGAAAGAAAAAAATTATC